ATTCCTACTACATAATCATATGCAAATCTAGAAGGTAGCTGACACTAAAGCTGAGCTCCAGACAAAGCTGAATTCACTTCATCTCCCATGCTCAATTGCTCCCATGCTCATTCATTCCAGTTACTCAGTGTTAACTCTCTTGTCTTCTCTTTATCTGTGGCTTCCTTTATCTGCCTCATGTATTAATTGCTTAGTTAATTAAAACATTTCTATCTCAGCCTCAATTGTTTGAAGACAATGAGAGCCTCCAATAGCTAAAACAGTAATAATGAAAACATTAAGGGCAATCAATAACCAATAGAACAAAAAGCAATAATGATACAGTAAACGATAAAATGCCCTATAAGATGCATACACATCAATAAACATTAGAAACATGAGCATATGGATCAATCTTAGCCTGTTTGAAATGTTATGAACTCTGTGCTGTGAACGCTTTTCAAAGTTGAGTTGCCATGGCAGAAAGATCCCTTTCCTAATCAGCACCACAAATAATTTATCTTAAGAAATCATCAGATCTTGAAGAATCGAACAATGTTTATAGGTACTGAGGGTGTGTCAGGACCAACCAAAGATTGTCCACTGTCTGCCATGAAGAAAAACAGAGAACTCCTTCTCCTATGGTCATGTGGAAGCTGATGGAACTGAATATTACTCTATAGTCCATTCTCTTGAGGGCAGGAAGCAATTGTAGAGGGCCAGGTTAAGGTAGCCCTGTGCTGATCACTGTTTTCCAATATCAACCTATTGGTTCACCCAGCAACCACCACTTCTTTCTACTTAATGATTAGGACAGTTCTGGTACTGGTTCTAACCCTTTTCAGGCTCAAAAAGAGAAAATCAACTCTCTGAATTGTGCCCTGAAGCAGAGGGGCAGTAGGGATATTTCAGCAGACAGGAATAATCAGACAGAATTGTTACAATCAAAATCATACGGAATAGCAGCAATCAAGATACCCTTCGGAGGTTGGTTTGCTAAGGTTGATTACCAATTTCCTTTGGGTTCAATAAACAACTAGCGTGTATTAGTTACAAAAACATAGTATGGGTTCTAAGAGGCTGAAAGGGGTCCATCTTTGGTTTTTTGGACATTTCAAGTCCTCTCTGGAATACAAATCAAGAGAAAGCTGTCTATAATTCAGATACGACAAGAAAAACAAGAAAAAGAGAAAGAAAGAAAAAGAAAGAAAGAAGTGTGTGCATTTTTGTGTGCATACCCAAGCATGAGAGAGTCAAAAAGCCCAGCAGCCAAATAAATCAGAAGAAATGTGAATGGCCTCCAGAGGGCTCTCCCTGAACCCACAGCCTGCTCAGCTGAGAGATATTCAACATCACCCTACTCTATTAGTTACTGAATATTTTATACTCTGGCTACATTTGCTCCATTTGTATTCTGCGCCTCTCTTTCGTCATATGCATTATAAACGAGCAGTGTCTGGAAACTCTCTCTGGGAAGATTTGCCTGGATGGCTATGGATATTTTATAGTCAAATTGTGGAGAGCAAACTAGCTTTCTGAGTTATGCTGTGAAAATCAGAAAAAGAAAAAAAAAAGGTCATAAAGTGGTTATTAAAAAAATAAATACATGTCAGACTGTACAGCATTCTCCTTCCATTGTGCAATGAGATTCAGCCACCCAATGATGGGGAGTGGTGATAAGCACAATGATAAATCCAAGAAAAGGACATTATGATTTGCCAGGCTGGGTTGTGAAGCCACTGGCAAAAGAATTCAAACAAGTTGAGCAAACCAGCCCCGTTTCATTTTATCTTTGTTACAAACCTGCAGCTAAAATCACATTTCATGAATGAGAAAGAGGTGTTTTTAGGCTTGAGTAAGCAACTGTTACGTCCAGATGTTTTGGATTACATCAGTGCTTATGGGATTTATAGCTCAACAAAATCCAGTAAGCACTGGGGTTTCTAACCCATTTTCAGAACTGGTATTTTTCTTTCTCTTAAAACAGAGAATGTACATGTACTAATTCAAAGAGTTACAGGATAATAAGAAGCATGATTTTTATGCTCAGAATTAGTAGGAATTATGTTTATCTCATGATAATTGAAGCCATCACTTGAGCACTGAAACTGCTATAACAATTCTTTTGCACTTATCACCTCAGCCAATTGCTGAACAAGAGGCAAACTGAGAAGGGATCATCATCTGTTTGGGCATACTCACTCAGTTTACTGAAGAAATATATTAAGAAGTATACTTTAGATTTCGTCCAGAAGTGCTCAGAAGTTAAGAAAAATAATTGGAAACATAAACAAAAGTGATGTCAGAACTAACAGAATAGAGAGAATGCAGGCAGGCAGGTTTAAATATTGGGATTTTAACCATTTATTTCCTCTTCCTTTGGTATATGCCACAGCAGGTTGTAAAACCTAGCCAATCTTGACTGATCCCCCAAAATTAACCACTTGGATGGAGGGCCACCAGAAAACTCTGGACTGTGGGTTAGATTAGGAAGTAGAAAAACAAACATCTAAGAAAAACCAATGGCAAAATGCTTCTCTGTGGCTGCCAAGAAAACTGCACTGAAATATCCAAGTAACCAGAATATCAACCTTGACTCAAGGAAGATTTAACCTCAAGACCTTCAGGGACATCTCAAAACATCATAACAAAACAATGCAACACCTTGTGCAAATGTAAGATATTCTTGGAATTGCTTGTGGGAAATGTAGAAATGTCTAAAGCTTCAGTGGAGGAACTAGCCATGTTCTAGAGAGGTTTAGAAGATGATGAAAACAGTACAGGTGGAATTGAGTGGGTGAAAAGATACATAAATGTTTTTCTAGTTTTCTTAGTTATCGTACTCAAAACTAAATATATTATTACACTGAAATGGTCCAAAATAATGACCATTTCATTGCACCATTACCAGAACCTCTAAGTAATATTTGAACCAGGGAAGTTAAGATATTCCCCTAATCCAAAGGTCATCATTTTTAATTTTTAGACTAATAGCCATGACTCTTCTGTCTGATTGGTCTTACAAGAACTAAAAAGTTAAGGGCTGTTAAAAGTTTGGGATAATTCGAAGTATTTGTAGAACAGGGTGGAAATGGGAGTGGTTCACTTCCCAAAAGCCCTGTGCTCCCTTCCTAGCCTAATTTTCTGCTCTTAAAACTTAAAAATGGCCACTTCACCACCAAATTACAGTGGCTGTATTCCAGAGTGCCTTGCAAGGTCCCAAAAAGTCTGAGGTAAAAAAAATACTCACAGCCTCCAGATTACCCAGCATTGTCATATTTTTAAGAAATTGTATTCTCATTATAAGACATTCTAAACTTGTTTAAAGAAAATTTTAAAGAACTGTTCTTGGTATCTTTCTATGTTTCCAGTACTTGAAATAAAAGTTCTTTCTGAGATTAATGCAAGACAGTTACTTAATGGTAAAATTTAACAATTAACAAACAAGTGTCCCAAATTTAGCAGACAGGAGGAAAATAAAACAATTCTGCTTCAGACCTGTGTCTGACTTCTTAAAGGCATTAATGAATGAATGTGAAACAAGACTTTTGCCTGCCATGCTCGGCTAGCTTTCAATGAGGCAGACATGGGCATTCATATTTCAAAGAATCATAGTCTTAACCCAGAGATTCCCTTTTTTCTGTCTGTAAGGAAAAAAAATGCAAAAAACTAACTTCTACTTGGTGATATTTCACATGCTTAGATAGAGGAAGATGTACATTAACTCTGTTTACCAACCTTGTTTATCAATATGTAGACATACTACTTACTGGGCCCTGATTTCTCAGTCCAGCGGGTGATTAATAACTTAGTGGCTTTTGAAAGAGTGCATTTATTATTCAAATTAATGAAATTATAATCAAGAGGTGACAAATTAGCAATTGCTCCTTGACTGAATATGGAAACTCATTAGGCACTTTTGTGGCATTTACCCATGTACAGCTTTATCTTAACAATCAGGGACAGGAGGTGAAGAGGGAGGGAGCAAGATATCCTTTGAAATAACTTTGCCTCATAAAACAATCCTTATTTGCATATGATTTGTGCCATTTTCTGGGTCTTGTTTACTCTCTTTAAAGCACAGTGGTTATCAGAAAATCCCTACTGCTATCTGGATTGTCCTGCCCAAGGAGTCTATTTACAGTCTCTCCAAACTAGACCCCAAATATCGTAATAAACAATTATTGAATCTATCTAATCCAATCCAATCTAATGTCTCAATTAATATAAGAAAATATCTTTTTAGGAAGATTCTTATAGAAGCTGGAATCAGAAAAGCAAAAAATGATGAAGCTGGGAAGCAGAGGATAAAGAAAATTAAGTTTGGCCTTAACCATGCCTCTAACAATCATACACATATAAAAACTCTCCCAATCTTTGTAAGTCTGAAAACACCAAAATCAAGTTTCTACCTCTTATAGTACAGAAATAAATCTATCTGAAAAATAGCGAGGATGTTCTTCTAAAGCTGCCTTCCAAATCTCATATGATGTTTCATAACTCCCAGAATGCTCAGCCAGCACAATGGGCATTGTTGGAGTTTTAGTTCAACATGTGGCCAGTATCACATAGATGAAGTTTATTCTAAAGGTTTAGAAACTGGATGCAATTTATACAGCTGCTCGTGTTCAGTATCAGACTGACACAGCTATCTGTAAATTGTCTTTCCATTCAACATATTCCACCATTTCAGCTCTGCACTGGAGCTTGAAATGATGAAAAACAGAGATGAAAGAAACACATACACAAATGAGAGAGATGGAGATGTTCTTTTCAGGATTCAACTTTGGTGTTGCTTTCCAAATAGAAAAACAAAAAAGTATTATTTGCTTGAACACCACTCCAGGGCCAAGAAATAAAACGACAAACCAAATTGACAATCACCCCTGTAAAACAGATCTGGCATATCGTACACTTGAGAGCATTATTTCCCTGTAATTTGCAATGAATAGGCAATCCCTTTAAATCTCAGAGTGTTTTTTCTCCATCCCAATGAGCAGCAGTCCTTCAAGGTTACTTACCAATGTGCTTCCCATACATGTGATAATAGAAGGAGACACAGAATCTGGCAGTCATGTTGTACATAGGGCTGATTAATCTAGCTTTGTCATCCTTCACTCGGGGTGCAGAGGCTTCAATGAACATGTAGTACCCTAGAGAGTGAGAAACCAAGAGCAGGAAAGGTAAATACATTGCCACAGTCCTTTTTCATGTCAACAGTATTAAAAGTAGTATGAAGAAAAGCAAGAATTTGACTCAGCCCTTTTGGGGACACTAGACTAGAATTCTGGGCTGCAGTTTCGTCTTCTCTCTGAAAGTGACAGAACTTGGACTTAGATTACCTAATTTACTTATTTACCTATTTATATCTACCTTTTCTCCAGGATGTCTAGCTGGCTTATGTGGAATGTACTGATCCAAATCATTAAGTAAGCTTTCATGGCAGAAGATGGACTTGAAATTGGGCCTTCACATGTTAGTTCCATTCTTCTACACTATAGCTCTTAGATCTAATCCTACTATACTCTCCCATCTCAAATATCTCAATATTTTTTCAGGATGTTCTGGAGATGTTTGATGTTTCTTGGGAGCATAGTTTTGCAACAAGTATTGTATTTTAATTTGTACTAGCCAAGCTTCCATAGAAAGATTGCCTCTCTACCATAAATCTTGTCCTAAAATACACGCATGTTGGAGAATATGATAAAATGCTGATCATGCCAGAGAATCATTTAGCCCAGTATTCTGTGACACATAGGAGCCAGCCTGTTGCATTTAGGAAGTTTCACAAGCAAGGGACAGAGTCACAGTTCCTCTTCAACAACTATTTTTAAAGGAACATTCGAACAAGTGGGATATACTCAACATCATAGTCTCCATTAGGAAAGAAAATAGAGATATTTTGTTGGTGTTTTTTAAAAAAAAATCATTTTTCAGGCTTAAATCATTCTTTGTCATTTCCACATCAATAAAATACCATCCTTTTTTAAAAAAATAATGAGAATAAAAACCTGAATACATTTTAATAGATACATTTTTACCAGCAAAATTTTAATATGCTCCTTGCAGAATTTTCACATTTTAGGGTGTACTTTCCCTATTTTAGGGATTTCATAAATTGCAATCTCCCTTTATAAAAGTGCTTCTAGTGATGCTTTGTTGTGTTTTGTTTTGATTGGGAAATGCAAATTAGATAGGCAGTTTCTACTTTCTCTTTAGTATCTATTCCTTGTTCACTCAGAACACGACAACAAGATCTTATGGAAGCTATAACAAGAGGAAGACAATTTCTTTTAAGCCTACTGAATTTTTCCTTGGTCTTTTTGAGCCTCTACTATCTTGCCCATTTCTGATAGGGATTCCTGGTAATTGAATATTCAAGTTTCTCTATAAAAACTAAAAGTCAGGAATAGAAGGGCTTATATATACTGTAATCCCCATGAAACATAGGCAGAAAAGGGTTCTGGATATGAGGTAAAGGGATAGGTTGACTAGCCTGAATTTCCAAAATCAACTTTGCATCATGACTTATATATCATAATCTTTTCTGAAAAGTTGCATGGAAAAGCTTGGAAAGGTTCTGGAACCTTGGACTCCTGCTCTACAAGTCAGACAGACATTTTAGGATGTTTAAACTTGCTTCCCCACTTGCTTCTTTCCTCTGGGCATGCATCAATGGAACAAGGACATTTGGCAGCAGTAATTACCCAGTAATAAGGACTAATGTTCTCCTGTTTCCTAATTCCTCTAAACAAAGCTGTGGGAGTTTTAATTGGTTATTTAATGTGAATAAGAACATGCAAATTAGCTGCCTTATGTCTAATACTGATCAAGAGAGTCCGTGTGCACACGATTGTGTATATACAAAGTTATGTTATATATGTATGTATGTATATTATTATAATATCTTAAGATGAAGCATACTATAGTAACTAGTGCAGCAACATATAGTAAACAAATTGTTCTTAGAAAAGATCTGGAAAAATCTAGAGGCATCAGTTCTATCTTTTGCAAATTCTCAATATTGTAAACTATGCAAATTAAAGATTGAAGAATTCAGGTAGGATGAAGAGATAGGAAGACGGAGCAAACTGCTGGGTGATGGGAAAAAACTAAGAATTGAGTTGGAAAGTTTGATTCCCAACAAAAATGGCTAAAATTATTCCATCCTCCAGCAAGAATTCAAGAGACAGAGGTTTTTATGTGCTAGACAGAGATTTGGAGCTGTAGATTCAAAATAAGTAGAAAGATGGCAGATGGCCATTTGCATGAGACTGATGACAAATACCATTTTGTAAGTAGTTATGAAATGGGGAATTCCTCTCTCCTTTGTTAGACATCAGAGAGAAGGCAGGAATAGGAAAAAGCAAGGAGCATAACTTTGAATCAGGAAACTGGTGGCCTCCTTACCTTCGGGTGTCCCACTGAAATCCATGGTGGGGCCTGTGTTGGCAGTGCGCTTCGGATCATGGGTTAGACTGCTTTGACGAATCCAATCAAAGTTGTCTGTTGTGTCCTGAATATAACCACAGTTCTTCTCATCTTCAAAGTGGCAGGTGTTACCTGTAGGCAGGTAAGGTGCCTAATAAGTAGATCATTCCAACATGATCTTGTCTGGTGGAGTATACAGGAGACAAAAAAATAACTTCCTTATAATAATGATACTTCTACACTGAGAGAATAACACTAATTTATGGAACAAGTTGCATCTCCCATCCACAAACTGAAGTCAGCAAGAAGTCACAAAAGCTAATTAACAGCCCTGCCTTTTTCTTCAGCTTTAAATATATATGGGAGAGTATAAAAATCTATACATTGAAAAATGTCCTGCTTGTTTATAGATGAGTTAACAAAGCACACTGTGATCATATTTGTGTGATGAATGGATCTAGACAACATGTGGATTTGTTGTGATTTTTTTTAACATTTCCCCAATGACTTTCCAAGCACTTCAAAATGCTGCTGCTGGCCATGCAAAAAAATATTCTATTCAGTCTTCACTCACAAGGACTGAAAAAGCAAGGATAACCATACACGCCTTGTTGCCAGCATCCTCACAGGTTTGGCTCCTCTGTAAATCTTCCAATAGTGAATCTATAAATGAACTTAGCAAACTAATTATAGATGTAAGCGGAGGTGGTATTCAGCAGATTCTGACCAGTTCTGGAGAACCGGTAGCGGAAATTTTGAGTAGTTCAGAGAACCAGCAAATACCACCTCTGACTGGAGATTTTACAGTATCCTTCCCCTGCCACGCCTACAGAACTGGTAGTAAAAAAAATTGAATCCCACCACTGGTGTAAGGATGACCATATAGGCACATTCATTCACTAACTTGTTTTCAATAGCTTTGGTTCCCTGTAGCCAAGAGTATTAAAATGTCCCTACGCACAACTCCAGCTTTTTAGCACCTCAGATTATGGGGAAGTACACATACCTATGTTGGAGGCCAGCTCCTCAATGTTTGGGGCTACATAATCCAATTTTGAATATTCATTGACCGCTTGCTGTTTATGAATGGAATTGATCATAAAAGGGACTCAAAAGAGCTGGATAACCTTAAACAAAACTGGGGGGGGGGGGGGAATTGACATGCTGAGCAAAATCAAAAGAAAAAAAAACCCTGATAAAACTATGATCAGCTTTGGGATAATGTCAAACTCCATTGATATGAAGAAGAAAATCAGGATGTGAAGTATAGCTGGAAGGAACAAATGAAGTTGATCTTTATATATTTTGCTGTAGTCCCAAGCTACCTTTTCAAGTTCCTTGTTTAGCTATTTTAGAACAATTAATTTGTAAATTTAATCATATTATTTTACTGACAATTTCTGAACTTGGTTGGGATGATGATTTACAGGTATTTGCATAACCACATTTAGCATACTAGCTACAGTCAGTATAATTTCACAATAATTACCCAGGATCCTTTTATATCACATCTATGCTATTGCAACATATTTTATGGATGTTATGCTTGAAGGCAATCCAGAATTTTAAATGTTTGTCACAAATGTGACAAATTAGATGTTAATTGATGTAATAATGTCAATCTAATTAAAAAAAAATCCTATGTTGCTAGCCAATTGAATTCAAGGTTTTATCTGTCTAAAGAGCTTCCTGCTTTGTATGAACCTGTCATTCTGTTCTGTTCTGAACCTACCATGTTCTGCAGAAGAAAAAGAATAACTTCTTACAGACTAACTTTTCTGCTCAACCAGAAAAAGCTTTCTCTTATGACCCCAAAAATGTACCTTTAGAGCTGTGATTGGTTCCACTGACTCCAGAAAGTGTTTTTTTTAAGAGTATTGTTTCAGCATCTTTCTTTAAAAAAAATGCTTTAATATAAGATATTGGTTTTTTTCTGAATTCTCAGATAATACCTCCATAGTTCTCAGGAAGTTGGCACAAAAATACCTGAAGAAATAAACCCAATGGCCTAAAATGTCATAATCTGAAAGGGAAATAACGGTTTGCAAATTTTTTTACATACGCTATACCCCATCAATCCAGGATTGGATGAAAAAAAAATCTAACTTTGATACTCAAGCATAAGGTAGGGAAAGAGATGGAAATTGATCTTATATGGAGCACATAAAGAAAGATAATCCAATAAGAGAACACCCCTGAATAAAAGGATCAGAGCCTTAAAAACATGTACAAAGCAAAACAAACAAATGCAAAGTCTTAAAAAAGCAATTGGTGCCATGATTGTAAATGAGGTTAGTATTTTTTTTTCCTGGTCTCAAGTACTGTAGTTTAATACTCACTGAGGCTTGTGACCTAGGAAGTGGGGAGGAGTGTGGCCTAATCTCTTTATTTAAACTGAACACCTGTGGAAAGATAAAAAAAGGGCTTCTATGCATTTCCTGCATTAGATTGTGTGTCTATGAGTGTTAGAACATTGAGCAGATGTGTACACCTTTCCTCTTTCAAGGCCTGTTTTTGGCCTCCTTCATTTTATTTCACATCCATTTCTCTCAAGTTAGAACAGGGCTTAGTTTTAAACTCAATAAAATGGGCAGAGAGTGCACGCTCATCTTTCTTGGCTCTGGGCTGGATATGAAGGACCAGTTTAAAGTAATTTATTGGTTAGAACTGAAGGGCAGCCACTGGTGAAGGTCTGCTAAGTACTTGCACCGGAAGCCCTCATGAAAACTCAGCTTGCTGGTGAAACTCCTGCCAGTGAAGAAAACACAGCAGCCAAAAGGAGCTTGGCTGGCCACTTAACCGCTAATTAACCCTGACTAAGTGCTCTCTATGCGGTCCATTCATTTCTAATTAGCATCCTAATCCAAATTAGCCACAGTTTATAATGCTGAGAGCTGGGGACTGCCCAGCATCTGTAACTGGAGAAGAAGCAGAACATGCATGCAGGAGATCTGAGACTAGGAAATCACAAAAACAATCTGTCTTAGGTCCAGGTCTGAGAGGCTGGAACAGAAGGGAGATTTTTTTGTTTTTTTTAAAACAGATTTTCCAATGCATTATTGGCATGAAGATGATTGAACTTCAATTGCAGCTATATGGATGAAGACACAGAAAGCTTTAAAAGTTGTGAGGGAGGCTTGGTCATTTCAGCCAATCCCACAGCATAACCTTAGCTATAGATGATGCATTAATTTTGAATTTCTAAAAAGACAAACTGTAATCCCACTTCCTACAAGAAACCCTGCCATTATCGGTTGATTTTTGCGAACATTATCAGATAAAAGCACTCTTCCTCATTCCCAGTGCCTTCAACAAAGCAGAATTTGTCACTACTTGTTTGTGTCTGTGTATGGCACCAGAAAGCTTCTTCTTCTTCTTTTTAAAAACAGTTTATTAGTTTTTACAATTAAAAACAACCAACGATACATACACAAATAAACGAGAGAAAAAAAAGAAGGAAGAAAAGAAAGAAAAGAAAAGATTGAAAAGAAAGAAAAAAGAAAGAAAAAGAAGGAAGAAAAGTTAAAAGCATTCTTATTTTTACAGTTTGCAAGATCTTTTTTCATAGCCTTTGATTTATGTCATATACACACACCTATTCTATACATATATCGCTATCTCATTATTATAGGTTAATACTTTCCTCTTATGCCTTATGGTATATAATTTATCTTTGATCAATCCAATTATACCAACAATTCCAACTATCATAATATAGTGAAGTATCTTTGTTTTTTAGTGCCAAAGTCAGTTTGTCATTTCTGCACATTTTGAAATTTTATCAATAATCACTTCATCTGGTGGAATTTGATGTTGTTTCCAATATTGAGCGAAGGCTAATCTGGCCGCGGTTAAGATGTGTATTGTTATGTATTTAGCTTTTTTGGAAATTTGTTTGTCAAAGATCCCTAGTAGGAAGGACTCTGGCACCAGAAAGCTTCTTGGCGAGGCTGGGTAAGGTAAAGCCTAGTTAATATTTCCATAAGTTTTCCCCAGAAATTCCCAGGGCTAGACTGTAGGCCAGGGGTGGGCAAACTTTTTGGCTCCGGGGCCTCATTGACTTTTAAAATTTGACAGATGGGCCGTTACCTGGTGTCAAAATGCCTGTCTTTACAAGTCAAAATCAAATGAATGCAATAATTCAATCATTCACATCAAACCTTAATTCTGTACCAATCTTCGGCGGGCCGGATTAAAAAGACCAACGGGCCGGATGTGGCCCTCGGGCCGTATTTTGCCCACCCCTGCTGTAGGCAAACGACTTCACTACTTCTCTCAAGAAAAATCTCAACAGAAGCTTTGCTCAACTAGAAGACTTCAATTTGCATCTTCCACTTAAAATTTCACTGATTTCAGTTCTAAACTGAATTTATTGCCAATGCTAAATTAAACTAATATAAAAGTTTAACTTTGCACAGAAGGAGAAGTAAAGATATAGAAATGAAATGGAACTAAATTTGGGCATACCTATTAAATAATAAACTGTATTTTCAACAGAAAACCTTAGATTCTGCCTGATCAGCATTCATTCCTACCATGCAAGCATTAGGCTGCAATGAACAGGAAAAATAGTCCTTCTCTGTATGGACAGAAATAGAGAACACCCCATTGGTGGCCCTTTCTATCTTCTTTGAAACCCAACAATTTCTGTGATTTAATTTTTGCTTTTTTACTATAAGGGAGGAGAAGACATGGATGCTCCCATTCATACCCACAACAGTTCTGCTAAATAATTTATTATCAGTGCCAAAGCTGACAACTTCTATTGTCTGTTGGATGTTTAGGTAAGCACAGACACTTGTCAATGTACCTTTGTCTTTTAACTGATTATTTGTACACTTTCCCTTTACTTCAAGCTGTTTTCCATTTTAAGGCTGGCATTTGCTTTTCCAGAACTTGTGTTTTATAGCAAGTGGTCTGGAATTAGTTCAACTGCAAGCTCATTAATGAAGAAGATTAAAGAACATGGTACATAAAAGAATGTAAAAGGTTCAAACCACACATATATCTACAATCTGAATTTTTTCCTCCTATATGGATCCACCAGACATGCAATAGCATTTTTTGTTGTTTTCTACAATTATTTACATTTAAGACCATAATGTAGCCAGCACAGTCAAAGCATTCCTTTC